CTATTTTGTCCAAAACCAAACCTAACAATGAACAAGAAAGGACAAAGAATTGCATTTATAAAATACCTTGTGAATGCGATCAGTTTTATTTAGGTGAATCGTCAAGGCCATTAAATGTTAGAATAAGTGAACATCAATCTTATATTAAAAATAAAGAATTTGATAGATCTCAAATCTGTAAACACGCATGGGATAATGAACATAGGGTTCAATGGAATAATTCAAATGTAGTCCTAAAAGAAACGGATGGTAAAAAAAGAAAAATCAAAGAAGCGGCTCTAATTATGCTAAATGAGGCCAATTGTGTCGCAAATTCCTCGGCAGAATGTAGTAGGATCTGGTTACCAATATTAAAAGAGGAAGTTATTAATAAGAAAATACCATTATTAGTAAGTCAGTAACATACAGAGGATACATCATTTATGTTTTTTAAATAACGTAACATATAAAATCAGAATTTTGATGTTTGTTGAAGGTAAACTAAATTCACGAACAAATACTTACAATGTCGGGATAGCATTATGAGGTTTTTTCCTGGTTTTCCCTCATAATTTACTATGGAATCACTAACAGGGGAATTTTACTGTCATCATGTCATGTGTTTGTCTTTTTAAAGACGAATTACATGCTATGATTTTTTTCTGACGGATATTCTCAAGTTAAAGTTGATTTCATGTAATCGAATGAACTATCTTATAAGTAAAGTCGTCCCAGGAGCGCAACTCAACAATATTGGCAATATCATTTTAAAGTCATCTACTTTAAAATGCATAATGTATGTCTGAATTGTCAATATAAATGAGTCAGATAAAATTAAATTATTAGAAGAATTTTTCACTATGTAACAAAAAACAAAATTTGTTTAATTTACTGTTTGTATTTTGAGAACGATTTCCGAAGTGGAAATTGAAACGTCAATAAACGTATTTTTATCTTTAATTGTGGCTTATTCCCAGTTTAATAGTAATTAATTTACAATGCCACAAGAAAATAGCTTCAGAACAATACTAGGATTTGTGGTTGCGTGCTTTTTTCATGTTATTATTAAACCGATTTTTGTAGCTGATTCTTTTAATGCTACATATACGCCTCTCGTACAACGTTTTCAGTTCTCCCAATAATATTAATATCATCAGCATAGGCAAGGATTTGCACTGCTTTATTATATATTGAATCAGTGGTTGTGATTTGTGACATACGTATTACTTTTTCCAGTGCCTGATTGAACAGTATATAGGAGAGAAGGTCTCCCTGGCGCAGCCCGTTATTTGTTTTATAAGGTTCAGACAGTTCCCATTGAATTTGTATTCTACATTAAACTTTTTCAATAGTTAGTTTTGTTAAATTTACCAACTGATTTGGTATTCCTAGCTCTATCATTGCTTTGAACATTTGTCTTCTATTCACAGAGTCATATTCTCCTTTGTAGTCTATAAATATGTTAACGAGTATAAATGCCAGTATGCTTTCTAAAATTTGTTTCAGGGTTACAATCTAATGAATTGTCGATTTATCACCTCTGAAACCAGCCTGATATTTTCCTGCTATCTGTTCTGCATATGGTGCCATACGGTGAGATAGTACTCTGAAAAATATTTTATACGCTGCATTTGGAAGCGTATTGAAGCATTTGGAAGCGTAATTCTCTTCCCTCTCGTCTGTTCCCCTTACCTCATCTTTCGTCTTCCAGGTTTTCTTATTATTCCTACATATTAAAGTACCTGGTTAAAGGATTCCACCCATCTATTCAATACATGTTTCCTTGTTGCAGTAGCGCATCTAGAATTGTCCTCTGGGGGGGGGGTTGATTGGGCACCGAAATTTTTTTATGCTACCCTCCACCATTTTAAGTCCTTAAAATTTGTAAATAACAGTTTCGGAATAGGGTCCTGGGGGGGGGGGGTTGACCCCCAAAAACCTACCCTGGGTGCGCCACTGCCTTGTTGATCAGTACCAATTCCATTTCGGAACCCGAACTGCATCTCACTAATCTCCTCCTCTAACTTTTCATAGATTCTTTTATGTATTACTTTAAACGGAATTTTTAAAGTATGACCCATAGAACTCAGTGTTCGATAGTCAGAGCACTCTTTTGCTGCTTGTTTTTTAATAATGATTATAAACCCTGACTTCAACCACTCTTGCATTAATCCCGTATCGTACACCGTGTTGAACAAATCTGCCAATACTTCCAATAGTTTTAACAATTCTACTGTGTTTCGTCTAATCCAGCAGCGTTATTATCTTTAGAGTTTTTTTTTATAGCATATGTAGCGACAAGTTAATTACGAATAATTAAACTTTTGTATTCAAAAATTAAATAAAGCAATCTCATATTAAAATTTACATTTTCGAAATTGGTTATACATATAAGAAATAAAAATTGAAATGTGTTCTTCAATATATTTATTTAAGTACTACAGTTATGCTAGACACTATACATTTTGAGTACGTTGCATTTATGGGAAACGAAATATAATATAACGACCAGCCCGATAATAAAAGTTTATCGTCTGGATTTTAAAAACAAAAAACGTGTGTTCTGTGTTGAGTTTAGTTTAGTAATCATTGAGACACAATTTGGATCGGTCCGTGATACATATACAAAAAATACCCTCCCTTCGAGAGTTAATTACATCTGTTAATAATAAATATTATTAACAGATTTTTTACGTTTTATTATTTTTTTATTTTTGGTTCCGAGGTAAATAAGTTTATCACACCCGCATCTACACAACCACGGAACACATAATTAATTTTTGATAGTTCTTTACCATAAAGAAGTTATTTGAAGATTAAAAAAAAACTATATATCGAGTTCATTTACTATGTCGTCATATATATGTGGAGAATGGTTGAACTCAATTAAAAAAAAATAATATTAATAGATCTAAAGGAGACATTTTTAATTTCCAATTACATTACATTTTTTGCTTATTTTTAGCTTTGGACATTTCTATCACATACAATGGTAAACAAATTGGTTTTCACAGCATCTGGATTTTTTAGAATAAATAAAGCGTTAATAACTTCGGTAAGGACATAGTATTAGTTTGGTATTTTTATAGAGTAGATAAGTTTACATAGTATTAGTATGGTACCTATTTTTGAAGAGTAAATAAGCTTCTTTAATACATTTTATTTCGAATTTTTGTCCACTTTTAAGACTTGATGTTAGTTTGAAAACCTTGTTCTGCATGCTTTTTCTATCCTTTCTAACATAAATAGTGTTTCTATTACTATATTTTCCCTTTATGTTCAATCAAAATTACACAGGGTGGTTAAATCTTTTAAAGATGCGGATGGTGTTCAACTTTACTTTACATATCCCCTCAAGAAGAAATCCAGGGGAGACAAATCTGGTCAATGAGAAGGCCATTCGATGCTGTTTCTTCTCTTTGCCTAATGATGTATTGTAGTGTAGATATGGGTCCAAGATGGACATAAAAGAGTTCGCCTAAGACCTGGTAAAGAAAAATTCCTATTTTGCTAAATCGTGGGGCAGAGCTTATGTGAGTAACTATGGTCTAGAGTGCAATTTCATATAAAAACAGGTCTTCATTAGTATTTCTTGAAAAAACATAATTCTCAAGATTGTGTCTATAATGTTATAAAGGAAATTACTTATCATATCTTTAGCAACTACATTTTCTAAAAAAATAAGACCAGGCATCTTACAGCAGTATCGCAACCAGCTTGTTTCTTAATTCTTAAGTCACTGTTCTTCCATAGCCACCTATGTCTCCTCATCATAGTGGTTGCAGTTGCACTAATTGAGCATAACCAAGGTTAGGAAGCCTTCTGGCCATTGTGTCTCCTAGATCAAAGATGTTTCGAACATTTTTACACCTAGGACAAGGTCTCCTAATATTTCAATATTGCACTCACTGTACATATATGAGATATAATAGGTAGTACTAGGTGTAGATTTTGTAAAATTTCCGACTTAATATAAAGATTTGTTCCCATAAGACATAAGGGGTTTCAGTTGCTCTGGAAACTTTTCTTTTTCTGGAATCTTTTCTTTTTCTGGAATCTTTTTCATTTTCTTTGTTTTAACATATTAAATAAAAATAATGTATTAACTGTGATTGTCAAAATTCCAGAAGGGTTCTCAGGTTGAATATAACTTCTCATATGTAGTAGTCAGTAATAAGAATAATTACCTTTCTATTTTTTAAATTTATTAAATTCAAATAAAACTTTGTTTTAGGCGGTTTCAATGGGAACAACATACTTAGTAATTCTGGCACAGTTTCAAAATAAATAGAACATAACTAAAACATCAATAGTAGAAAGTCTTAAAAATAGATATATACTTTAAAATACAGTTTCCTAAACTTAAGTTTGTTTTATTTTCTCCTCTACCTATACATAAACCAAAGAAACAGTAGTTGATAGTGCAAAGTAACTAAATTCCTGTCCATCGTAGAATGTCTATACTTAATATGACCTAGGAGAGAGCCCTTACAATAAGTGGAAGATACAATTTGCAAATATGTTTTTCTTTTGTGGAAAGGTCCTCCTTTATTCAGTAGAATCTTCATAACTGTCAACGTAATATCTGCTTTGCTGCTACCTACTACAAATGTTAGCTAATAATTTCTTCTATGCCTTTTATGAAAGACAAAACTGTCTGCATATATTAAAATAATCATGTATATAACATCTCAATATTATTAGTACTTCCAAATTTAAAGTTTCCCAAACTATTCTGTAATAAGTTTTCTCGTATTAATTTCTATAGATAAAACTACAGTGATTGCATTACTAAATCAAAAGATGGATAGAGCATAAAAGATAGCTTGGCTAGGTAATATCAGACAATGGTGCCATATGGCAGCTGAAGAACTATTTCATACAGCAGCTGATAGATAAACATTCCAAGAACTTACAAAAATGATGATAGCCAACATTTGATCACAGTTATGGCACCTAAAGATTTACTAATAGTAATATTCTGACATAATAATAGCAAATATGTAATTAAACACAAAAAATATACTTACAAACTGAAAGTTTTATTGAATTACAATAAGGTAAAAAAGATAAATATATTTTACATCTTATATAGGCTTAATTTTAAAATGTAGACCAATTAATGAGAACACTAAACACTTCAAGTCTTGTACCAAGTAATAGAAACATCTCAGCCCTTCGGGATCCTTGGATTGACTCACGTCGATCAAGGAGCCAGTTTTTGAGGTAGTGAATGAAATATGTTCGTCTTTGATCACGATCTCCAACTCTTGTCTTCCAATACGGTCCGGAGGAGGCCACAAGGAATCGTCTTCTTGCATTATCTCCGAGTCAATTATGATTCTTTTAAGTTCTTCCATTACACATTGGTGTACGTATACTTCTTTTCTGATCATTGTATCATTTTTGTAATTGGAGTTATTAGCGTACCGGAGTTTGCCATCCGGTCGGAATTCAAACTCGAGGAATTCGTGGCCAAACTTACCTTTGTGGCCTACGTAGTATCTAATGTAAAAATCTGCCATTCTTTTAAATGACCCGGTTCTTTTTTAGTTTATACGTGGAGAATCAATTATTAAAATGAAAATTAACTGTAAACAGAGAAAGCTTGGTCTTAGTGACAGTTACAAAGGTTATGTCCACTTATACTTATGTCGAAGTCTTCTTCCAAGAAGTATTGCTTTGGCACTATGTGTAATTACTATATAGGATATTCAGCCCTCCAATTTGCTCAGGTTTCGAGAAAAATAATTGTATTGAACATTTCTCATTTTTTTATTGTGTTGATTAATTTTTTATCTGTCTTTTATGACAATAACTGTCAATACAACTTTCATTAAATAGAACTTGTATAAAGCAAGAGACTGGAATCATCGTTAATGTCGTAACAAAACTTAGCGAGTCTTTTGGTGCGTTTTTTATTGCCATCTATGTTTGTCGATTCTGTTCCACTATTTACCATTGCCTAACTGCTATTTTCTCCGGATACTCTCTGATTGCGACTTTCCAGACCGTTCTACAGATCTTCTCCCATCCTGTCTTCCCCAAAATATATTGTTTATAATACGATTTTCATTACTGCATATCACATGTCATGTCCATCTTAGTATATTGGCTTTTATATATCTATCACTAGATTTTCCTTTCCGAAGAAATAAACTAAGTTTGGACCTCATTAGATGTTGCATTGCAAAGAAAGATCTGTTTTCGCCAGTATTCGCGCTTCAACTTCCCGTTCTACTTTGTTGTTTCTAGATATTTAAATTATTTTACCACTTCCAAGCTATCATCGCCATTTCTCCGTCGTTTTTGTTTAGTGTTCATTTATTTTTAGACCGATATTTAATGCAGCTTCCTCAAAGCTTGAGAAAATATCCCTGACTTCTAATGTTGATTGTGCTATTGGGATGCTTAGAATATACAACGCAAAAAGAGCTTAAAATACGTAATTGTACGATGAAAGTGGCAATTTTATGACTTACACTTGGAGCTTGGACAATACAAAAGGGAACTATGCCAGCGAACTCATATGACATTAAATATTAAGTCATAAAAGATAGAGTATAGTGGCACTTACTTCTAAGATCTGAACCTTTATCATAATATAAACTTTTAGAAACAATCTGATGGATCTGATTTTCGCAAAGTGTTTCTCCAAACTGTTCTTATATATAAAAAGAAAACTACTTTTCGTAATAATCACAGAATACGAAATGGTTTTATTGTTCAATATACAAAAAGTAATAATAAAAAAATTAATTATATAAAGTACACTATTGTTATTATTAAATTTGTGTAAGTACGTATAGGTTTCTAGTTTTTCTCCGTTATGTAACAGAAGCTGCAGAAGAACTTAATTTCTCGATAGGGATTGCTTTAGCCTTTTCCTTTTGTTCCGTTAAGGCTCTGGATTCATGTATAAATACTACAAAATTAATACCCTGAAAAGGAAATATGCATTTAATTTTAATATACTTAGTATCACACAAAGAAAAAAAGTTTTTGCATTCAATTTTAATATACTTAGTATTACACAAAGAAAAAAAGTTTTAACGTTTTCCAACTGTTCTGGAGGTATTTTTTGTATTACAGAGTGACAAATATAGTTTTTACAACCGTTTTCAGTGTTTTAGTCCAAGAACCGATCAAGGAATTACGAGAAAGCCATCTAAAATAGATGTATGTCCATGTATGCCTATGCGATTTATTGTGTGACAGTCATTTCGCATGAAAAATAGAACTGGTTGAAATTATGTGTTTTTTGCCTGAAGTTTCATTTGGGCACTTGTCTTGTCATCTAAGGTAACTTAGAAACATGTGTTGGATAACATCAGTGATCTTCCTGCATGGGATAATACACATTAATTTATAGATTACTCCTTATCGCCACACAGTGTCATATACAGCAGATAAAATTAACACATAAAGTGTTAAAATGGCCATGATTCTAGCTCCCTTGAGTTGATGTGGTGCATTTTCTGTTTGAAGGAAGTCTGAGAAAAACTTTGTAAGCCTTTCTCTTGTAACTATTCCACTGTTATAGTTTATTCGTCTTCCGGGTTTGGACCGTGTCAATTGTGAGTGACCCAAAAGTGGGTTCATCTCACGGTCCAAACCCGGAAGACGAATAAACTATAATTCTGACTCTGGCCGTGGAAGCCTACGATTTCATATTCCACTGTTCTTTAGGAAATTCAGCATGAATGACATAAAAACTAGGAGCCTTTAGCGATTTCAATTCATTTAGGACTTCCGTGATTTCTTTACAGGTGAAGGGATTGGAATATTCTGTTTCGGGAGAGTCGATTTTAGAGCATAGAAATTGAAAGTGATTGGGTGGCAGCGGGGGCTTTGTGATAGACACTATATGCAACGCCACTTGGTGTTTAGTGTTATTAAGTTGGTTTGAGAATCTAAATTTTGAACTATTTCAATCAATTTCTCGTGCCTAACAGCATCAATTCTGTGGATCAGTTCATCTGCAATTTCCTGATTTTCGTCTTCGATGAACTTTTCGACCTGGGATACAATGTTTATGTTCATCGTCATCAATTACTCCTGATTTGTCTATTGTTTAAGATAAGCCTCCTCTATGTTCATTTATCGTTGCTTAGGATGCTTCGAATTTGGGTAAACTCTTAGCTCAGGTTTTAGTGTTATAACCTGTTTTCTGTTCTAGGAATTAAATTCGGGCCCCTGGCTTGTTAAACCAGTATCATGGCCACTGGGCTACGAAGCGCACAAACAGTTGGCTTACCTTGGCTTCTATAGTAGTAGTGTGTGTAATACTGACCATTACTATTCATTCTCTAGCTTCTTATGAGACAAAGTTATGCAACTTCTTTAATGGAAAAAAACGAATGAACATGAGTGGCATAGTGAGGAATGATTTAAATATAATATATAGATGTACACTATACACAAAATATTTCTCAGATCGGAGTATGAAAAAGTCTACAAAACCAAATTTTTTGATACAGGAAAAAATATATTGAATACATGGAAATTACTAATGTATTGGGAATAAGTCACAATTGAAGATTAAAACAAGTTTATTGACATTTGAAATTTCCACTTCGGAAATCGTTATCATTTAATACAAGGGAATTTGATTTAAAATTCCAAATTTTGAAATAAGTATTATTAACATGGAATTATAACCATAATATGGAGATTATTTATTTACCTGTTGTCTTGCAGCTCGAACAAATCCGTCATTGGCTGTAACGGTAACAGCTTTAATCCTGTCTCCAAATGTAAAAACAGTTAATGACCTTTCCTTAATTTTTCCTCCTACTTTCAAAATATTTTCGTCGCTATACTGAACCTCACCGAATATATCTCTAAACTCTTCCCCATCGTCTGTAGAACTGTAATCAGCATCATCACCCAATACAATCAATCTCTGTAGTAATTCCTCAGCCCTGACCTTTTCAGTTGGACCTCCTACAGTTTCTACAATATTTACGAAGTTATCCTTAGCTGTTTGACAGCAGTAAAGCTTTTTTCCTTTAAAAAAGTCATCTAAAATCGGTTTTTGCGGCCTCAGCCTCTCCCACTCGGCTTGCTGCTTTAATACTGGAACATTAAAGTCATACAATTCAGCACTACCATTTGTCACAGAGCTGCAGTAGGCTAGCATTGCGGAAACATCAAGATTTATTTTGTTTATGTTGGCTATATCTTTCGTAGATAAATCTGAAATATTTGGGTACTCTTCTTCTACATCACTATCGGAATCAGAGTCTAAAGGAAAGTCACTTACTCTTTCTCCCTGTACGATAATACCGCGAGATTCTAGTTTAGCTGCTATGTGACTGCCGATTCCATTGGTGAAGACAAAGATTATCTGCAAACACAAACAAAGGATTTATTCAATACAAAAATATGAAAAGTTTAGTATTATTTTGTGTGCTTGTGCGACTAGAATCAGAGGAATGAGCAATTAGTGAAAATGTTTTGCTGTTTTCTATCGAATTTTTGTTTTTCTAGACTTTTTAAGCATTTTCTGTAGAAACCGGATTATTCAATCATTGTTTACATTTTGTACATTGCCTATAGATGCAGTGGCTCACCTAGAGTTTTCCTTTGGGGGGTTTTGTTTGAACACTGAATGTTTTTTACGCTACCTCCATTTTGAGTCCTTAAAATTTGTAACAGTGTCGGAATAGTGCCCTGGGGGACAATTTACAAACAGGGTAAATATTCGAGAGGTAGACCCTGTTAGTGTAAGACAGTTGTTATTGTTGTTAAATGAAAACTCATGAAAGTTTTCTATTTGTCTATAAGCAAAAATATTTATAATTCCAAAAAATTCCCAGGCTCAAATAGGTTTAAAATCTTATTTGCATTGTTTTTTGTTCCATAGTCTTGCAAAACAAATTTCCAAAATGGTTACACCTTTTTTTTACAAATTTTTCCTGTTTTCACTAGAAAACTGGAAAATATTTTTACTAATTGTACATTTTTATACTCCTGGCAAATTGTTACACCACCAATGGAATTAAATTGTACACAAACTCCCAATAAAACAGAGATAATCTAAGGTAAAGGAAGATACTTGTTTTTTTTTGTGTGAATAGTGCTGTAAAATATGTGAATCTATACCTTTGGAAATTGAAACAAACATGGATATTGCTTTGCACATCTAATGTATTCCTCAGCTTGATCAATGATACTTCTCACACCATAGCTGGCATTTCCCATACATATTTGACTAACCGACTTAGGATTACGAGCAATAACTTTAGTCCATGTTAAACCACCATCACTAATAATATCAACTGTAATTTTTCTATCATCCAGCACAAATACTTTATTTACACTCTGACATCTTTCCACAGTTTTCAAGGTGTCAATGAGAGCAGAGAAATGAGTTAAATTTGAGCATTGCAAATGTTCTTTTTTTAAGGAATTATTTTTGTTTGCCTAAAAAAATAAGGTTACAACTTATCTATAAATGAAATAAGATAAAATACTAACTTTTCTTAAGAATTTTAATTCTTGGCTGATTTTTCTGCTCAGTTTTTGCGATCCTTCAATATGTTTAAAGTTTTCAATTGACTTAATTAGTTCTTCTCCAAATATGATTTTTTTCGTAGCTAAATCCTTTAATGCGTAATCGTCCTCTATTTCTACGTGCATATTGTTCATAGAAAATTAAGGAACAAACAGGATAACAAAAGGTCAGTATCTAAAAATATAAGTTTCAATAATTTTCAAGGGAAACCTGGTGAAATATTGTATTTGTGTAACCTTAATTTGAAACGTCAAAATAAGTAGTCAGCTCATATGACCATGACCATAATACTTAAAAAAGAAGAAATGGATAATATCATTGCTGTCAGTGTCATATGATTTGCAGGGGTGTGTGGTGTTTGATTTGATGAAAGAAAAATGATTTTCTACTTAACATTGACGACTTTGTTAATTTCCTCAGGTAATTTTACCCAATTTAGAATTAAAAATAAATTCATAGTAAATCTATACATCCATTATATATTAATTTTTTTTATTATTACAGCTTTAGGTGCTGGGGAATTTTCAGTCCTTCACCATGCTCCAAGTCTTACTTTCAGGGGTCATGATGCCCTTAAAGAAAGCACTTTAAAAGATGTTTACGCTGCAGCCCTCGGTTTTTCCACTGAACACTTTTCAAACTGGAAGGGCATGTTCCTATCAGACCCATTTGGAGTGGCCCAGGCTATAGTAACTGTATATGTGGATGGAGTATCTGATATAGACCAACAAAAGGGCCATCATTTCCCTCTTAAGACTGACATAGGCGAATCTAAGGTCTACAAAAGTATTGAAAGAAGAATCGAAGAACATTATCCTAATGAAGAAACTAATTTAGTCAGGATTCGTCTTTCTAATGGATTAGAAGATGTAAGTGGTATACTTAAACTTAAACTAGACAAATAAATAAAAATCAGAATTTTTAATTTCATACTCAATAAGTTAGATTGGATATTTTATCATGTGATCATAAATACAAGGTTATACTTACAGAAGTACATTTTTCCTGTTTTTTAACATGCTTAAGTAGAAGTCATAATCTTTCCAACATAGCAAAAAATTAATTACTAATTTTTCTATGCAGTTATTACTGGGTTCAGTGAACATAGTATAATTCTGTTTTTCAATATATTCCTTGATATATTTCATATATTTTTTTAGATTCGCAAGTACAAAATCTTTGAAGACATTGCATCTGGAGACTCAAAACAACTCAACCACAAGGCCTTGAAATTGGATGTTGATGAAGATAGAAAGTTCATCAAAGAGATTACAATTTTAAATGAAATTGTCCAAAGAGTGAGTATATAAGTTTAATATAGAAACAATCAGTTTGGAATATATTTTTTATTTGATATTATATCAGTACATTTTGTTATTTATTTTATTTCTATAAATTTTCAATCTCTCTAGCTTGGTGTTAAAAGTGTCCATGCAGCATGTATAGTAATGTTTCCAACAGAATATTTATGTTCTCAACTTTCATTCTCTCTCTCTCTCTCTCTCTCTCTCTCTCTCTCTCTCTTTTTCCTATGCATCTGCCTCTAAGCATCCCTTACCTTGGCTACAACTCTAGTCCAGTTATCAACCCTCAATATCTCTTTAACATTGGTTCCCACTTAATCTATCCACCTCTTCCTTGGCCTTCCAACTGGCTGACATCCCACCATAGTTCCACTAAGCATTCTACTAGTTATGTAGAATGTAATGTTATTATCCATTCTTATAAGGTGACCTACCCAGAACAATCTTTGTAATTTTGCATAATTTGTTATAGAGGATTTTTTGTGATGCTGGTATAACTTTAATTCTATTACAAACAAAGTAAACAGATCCCATATGGACTAAAAGTATACACTTTATTTTATTTTCTATAATTTCTCGTTAATTTTTGCTCATAAGTTGTTCAAGTTTTTTATTATAAAAAAAGAATATGATATAATCAATATTTCAATGATATATCAATATTTATACTGAATAAAAATCAAACAAATATAAAATACATTAATATAATTTTAGATTGAAGAAGGTGAAATCAAAAGGGACAGCATCCCTGATTTGTACTGGTTCGAAGTTTCATCTCTTCATGCAGTTTCAGACTTGTATGGAGAAAATTCTACACAAGTTTTGGAAGCAAAACAACTTCTTAATGAAGTTATTTTAAGACTTAACTCTGCTTTCAACAAACTTTACAATGGATATGTTCTTGTCACTGTTGTAACGAGTGATGCCAGCCACACTAGGAGAGGCAGAAGCATTCTTGCTTCTGATGCGGATCAACCAACTGATGATGTAAGTATTTTTAATTTGTCTCTATGGCTTGTAATATCCTATCATTAGTTTAATTAATGAATATATTTATTAAAGAGTAATTATCTTTCATCCTTTTATGTATTATTTTTATTTCAGAAATCCAAATACAACTTGGCAAGTTACTACAGCAAAGACTACCCCGTTATCTTTAATCTTATCTTGTGGTTTGGGGTAGTGATGTTATTTTCCCTCATCGCTATCTGCATGGCTATTGGCACTATGGATCCGGGCCGTGATTCAATCATTTACCGTATGACCAGCACCAGAATGAAGAAAGATAATTAAGTCCACTTTTTTTCAATGTTCGGTTAGGAGCTAAAACCCAAGTTTAGTACAGTTATGTTGTCTTCTAATCATTGATACAAACCAATTTTTAATAGTAAATGATAAATAGCTGAATGTTGAAAATATTTATCTTAAATGTGGAAAGTTTTTGATGGTGTTAGTAGTATATGTTAACTTCACAACTGTGTATTTAAGATCACTAGAATAAATTAAAATCCTAATGGTATATTCTTTCCACAAGGTTTATTATTTCATAAAACAAGTAAATGCTAATGAGTAAATTATATAAAAGTGATATTTTTCAACATATTCATTGTAACCCTAGTCTCTAACTTTGGAATATAAATTTGCAGGTAGGAGTGTTAGCTCTTACAGTGTTGTACAGTCGTATGGTGCTTACAAGTTTCTGGGTTGCAAGTGACACACCATTTTTATGTTGACAGAAAACAGGTTCATGGACTTTCTCTCACAAAAACAGTTTTTAAAGTGTGATCAGTACTATATTGTGCTTGGGACCCCTAACTAGACTTATGACTAGTATCATTCATAATCATAATATAACCTTTATAATAGAAATAGATACGAATGACATAAAAAATTACTTACACTTTCAAATTTATGAGTATATGAGAACCTGAAGTGATATGATTTGCTTCATAATGTGCTTGTTAAACGTTTAAGTATCATTTTGTACATTTTGCTCATTATATATTTCACTTTATTATGGATCATTTTTTATTAAGTCATACGGTTACCACAGGATGATTAGTTTTTCAAAAGCTTTTGAGAAGCTAAAGTCTTCTGTCAATTGTTTGATAGAAAGCTTTAAGTATCACTCACTTTGTATTTGTGACTGTTGTTTTAAATAATGCATTACTTTCTTGTTATGTAAATATGGATTAAAATAATTTAAAAGTATTATTATATTGTATATTTTCAGTTTACATATTTGAAGGTTGTTTTTTGAGTAGACACATTCCCTTGTAAATAAAATTATTAAACAGTAGAAGTTTTTTATTGAAAAATAGCACTTGGAACTAAAATGAACACTAGTTTATGCGATTGTCATATCTCGTATTAACAAGCTAAATTAGCCAGATCTAATAGTGTAGAGAAAAATTCAAATAGGGCTGAAAAAGCCATCACAATCAATAGTTTACGAAAATATGCAAAAAAGTACCATGTTAGTGACACAGATCTCTCCAGGTAAACGACAGTTGTTTTGGGTGGTATGGACCTATATAATGAGAACCTATATGATTCCTACAGTCGATATTTTGGACTTAAATAGTTATTAACAAATTACAGTAAAAAAATGGCATTTTCGATATTTTTTTGCTTATCAGCAAAAAAAGCATTTAAAACAAATTTGAGAGTAAGAAACTTTTAAGTCATATAAAAACCTTCAAAATCGCGTTTTTTTAAATGTTTCTATCCTTATTTGTTGCAAAATAAATCATAAATTTCATTTTTTTTTATAAATGTTAATAACTTTTTTAAAAATAAACTTAAAACCTTTATATTACATGGAAGATTGAGACTTGTGGTGCTTAAACTATGATCAAAATTTCAAAGTGATCGGTCAAATAGTTTAAAAGTTTTGTTTGGGTTTATATGACTGTAGACACTGAATCCATTCGCCAAGTTTAAAAGTTATTTTATTTGTTTATTCCGAATTAAATTTTTTTGCACCAATATAAGTAAGACAATTATGTAGTTACAGTAATTCTACGGATAGCTTATGAAAGAAGAAGATTTATTCTATCAATTTTTGCTTATAAACAATTCAATAGCCCGTAAATTTGAGACAAAGATATGCCATTTCGCGCACCTCTGTAAATCTGTACTTAAAACCCTTTATTCACAACTGTCGATTTAAGTGCCATGACAAGATCAATAAAGAAAAGCGACAGAAATTTTTGCGGATTTCTGGGAACTGCAAACTTCTGATCTTAATGGTGCAATTAAGTTACTTCCAATAATGAGAAGAAACTGGGCGTGTTGAACGGTAAAGGAATGTCATGTAAATACAGGCTTTTAAACGAAAGATTTGCACAGAGTTTCTGTTAAAAACACTTGATCGTTCAAATAAAATAATCCAAAACTTGGTCAACAGAAAAAAAATTATAATTTATATTTATTTATTTCAAGTGGTGTATCTCCAAGAGATAATAGAGGAAATCAACCGCCGGAAAACAAAATTTGCCAATAAAAAGTTGATACTATCAAGCAGCACATTAATCGGTTTCCAAAATACGTTGTCAATAAATCGCCTCCTGTCTTGAAATTCATACAAAGCCTACCAGAACATGTTTATATTACGACTTTTAGTGTCAACTGTAGAAGCCAGAACAAAAGTAAGATTTTTGTAAAATTCTGGCTTGCAACAACGAAAGTTAAAACTGTAGATTACATATTTTTTGTAAATGGAAATTCATTTAATGAATGCGACAAAAATTTTGGTCTCATTGAGATAAAAAAGACTGAAACAGAAAATTTTGTACTGGAACACTGGGTAGAGCTGATTACCAAGGCCAGTTCAAAATTTATCGTTGTGAAGGAACGTTTTTACTGGGGTGTATGTTGCGATTGATGCTGAGCAATGATCGCAAGCTGAGTGTTTTTACTGAAGCGATAATTTAATTAGTGAATTGTTCGTTTCTAGTGAACAAGTGGTTTTGTTGCAGCGATGAGCGTATGTAAAAGAAAACAATTATTATTAAAATACCAGCTAGCAGAAGAAATAGAGGACGAAGAAATGTTAAGTGTTCGAAGATTAGAAAAACATGCAATATTTAAGAGATCACAAGAAGAAGGATACTTTAAAATTTTAATATACAACCATTTATTAGGAGATGATGTTAAGTTTCCAGAGTTCTTCCGTTTGATTTTGTGTTAAGTTTAGTAAAACAGGATATGAAAAAGTCGTCTACAAACTGTATGCCATATCCAGTGTCTCCAGAAGGGCATATCTTAAATAAAGAAACTTTCAAAATCGCATGCACAAGCCACTATAGTCGCTCCGTATTTGGGAATGTGTCTGCTCTCGGACCAGTTGCCAACGATCGACGCTAGCGGTTCCAGAGACAGACTCTTCAGTAAACAAAAAATCATCCTAATACATTGTTTTTCAAGAACAGTGTAGAAACTGAATCTCTTTTTGAAAATTTTAAATATTTAAAAATATACCATATCAAACCATAAAGCCATTATTAAAACAGTCAAAATATGCAAATCTTATGGAATTAATGCAATTTGTGTGCATTTTTTACAACTTCTACAGAAATTTGTTTTACCAACAACGGAAAGGAAAACAAATTACAGATCAAAGAACTCTCGATAATATTCAGGCAGATCGTGACAACTGTTTCGAAAGCGATGATGACTAAAGTACATTTATTCAGCAAATTCCCAACTGTAAACAAACGCACGTGTTGATATTCGCCCTCTCATTCGCCAAGAGGCTATTAAATATAATTTATTGCCTTAAGCCAGACGGATTCTCATTTTACAGGTCCAAACTTGTCAGTCTGTTTAAATTCAAACTGTAGCGTGTTGGTTTTTAAGGCTGTTTTATCGGTACATCAAAACCTAGAGATAGTGTTTTTTCTCTGTTATTTACCGACAAAATGACTCGAAATTTGGACACGTTATTGAAAATTATGTTGCCTTTAAACTGATTGTTTTACTTTTTTTGAAAGTTTTTTGAAATATCGGATTATGCAATTTAACGTTCTATTATAACCAAACTTTTTACGCCCATCACTTGAAAGACTTGTTTTTTCTGTAATCGTTGATTTTTTTTCACCTTTCTGTGTCCGGTAATAATCGAGAAAAGCGTGTTCAAACTTTGAAGAAAATTGTTAAAAAATACTGAAATCTAATAGTGAAACGTGTTACACATTATTAGCACTTAGTTCCACTGTTATCGGCTTCGTGACGTAAAATCTCATGAACGTACAGTCAGTTAGTTCGATTTGAAATCATTTTCACGCTATAACTGCGAAATTGTTTATTTCTTTGTGACAACAATTTGTATTTGTTTTGATAATAATATTTTTTTGTTATTTTAAATTTATTATAAATAAACACCATGATGTTTTTTGCAGCCACGTTTCACAAATTTTTATTCAATACTATATTGATCTAAGACGTATAAATTAAAAATGTGATAATTCTTTTTAAAACATCTACGATAATCATTCAAAAAAGGTATTCCCGACAAAACAAATTTGAATGGAGAATAATCCATTTGTTGTCATTAAACTATCCGTCGGTCGGCGCCACTGTACCCGTCGTCGGCTGGCGTAAGCAGTGTAGAAAAGTAAGTGATACGCCCATTTCAAATGGGCGTGTGCTTTGGCTGCTAAAACAGCCTTAAGCATGGACGTATAAACACAGAAACTGGTCGTGTTATGTTTTAGAGTTTAGTATTAAGTTTTATAGTGTGTAGTGAACTTTAAGTATCCAAAAACAAAGTATTTCTTAATTAAAAGTAAAAATAGCTTGCGGTAATCACTTTAATAAAGGTAAGAGAAACCAATATTTTAATTTATTGATGTTTCGAAAAGTTTTATTTCTTTTTTAGTCCATTTATTCACGGTTTTTGCTGTAAATATTAAAGAACCGCTTGGATTTACGTGAAATTTGGAATATACTTAGCTAACGGCAAAGAAAAAAAAGTGATATTTGAGGTGAGTTTCACCCCTTCTCGGGTGTGAAAAACATGCGTTCAAAATAAGTCCAGAATTGAATAAACTGACTAATTCTAAGCAACTTTTATTTTATACAGTTTTTGCACAAGTCAATACTTACCGAGTTATTTGCGAGTGAATATGATAATTTTTCAATAAAAAAACTAGGTACGTTTTTAGACGGTTCTCCGCAAATAGCTCAAAAAGTTAAGTATTTGATCGAAAAACATATTCTTAGCAAAAATATAGGTTATAAAAAAGTTAAAAAAAAATGATGCACTTATACCTATGTGAAGTCTGTAGACT